CATATGTACATATATGTTATGTATATGTGTGTACAGTTGAGGTCAAAGTAGCATAACCATTTATATGTCTTAGGACCACATGCAGTGTGGCGTGGCTTATTATTGCAGTGCTATAATTGTGGCCGCTGCTGTGTTGGCTCTCAAGCCCCATTTTGCCTGTATGTTTGTTTGTTTGTTTGCTTGTTTGTTTGTGTGAATATTATGGTATCGCATGTAAGTACGAATATTGGATGGACCATGTACTCCCCTCCCTCCTAGTCTCTCCTCACTCTGCTCTCTCCTGCTGATGGTCTATTTCTCTTCCCCCTCATTTGTACCCTCTTCGTCTGTTTCGTCTGCTGGGGCTGCTGCTGTTTGGAGTTCGCGGTCTCTGTGCATTGCCCGCCGGCAACCGGTCACGTTTACTGTTGTTGCTCTCACACACACACCACACACACTACACACATTCTCTGAAATGGTAGGCCAGCACAGCAGCACCGCACCAGCTGTGTGTGCGCTCTCTACGAGTATAACTGTAAAAACATGCTCGCCCACTTCCTTTGGAGCCGGCCGGAGCGGCGCACACGTTGGAACGCATTGTCCAGGCGTCGTTTTGTTTGATTCCCATTCCCTCGCCGCCCCCTGCAATCTTCATCTCCACCCCTCCTGCTGCTCACCCGCTTCACAGCAATCTCTCCTGCTCCATCGCTTCAGCCTCCTGCTGCCTGCTCCCTCCCTTCGGCCAGCTACTTCTCCCTCCCTTCGGCCATCTCCTGCTCCCACTCTTCGGCCATCTCCTGCTGCCCCTTTTAACCAATCTCTTCACACATCTCCATTACCCTCTCTCTCCGTTAGAGTGCGTTCGAGTGTTTGTGTTAATTATACCCTAACCGAGGGAACACATAACACACATCAAAATCAGATCACCAAATACATAATGTATCAACGATCAATTGCAAATAAATTCTTCTTTTTCGAAGCTAATTGGATGGCTTATCCATAAAGTACCTGCCATAGTTGACAGATCTGTTAGGGTATTTAAATGCTCGTCGCCATAAACTAGACTTTCTCTCACCGTTTTGTTAATTGTGCCAAATACACACACAACAGCAGTTAAAGTCTTCAGCAATGGCATTCACCATATATAATATATACAATATCCAATTCCAATATCCGATATACCATACCAGCCAATATAATACACAATTTTTCAATTTCAACACCCACCCATAATTTTTGGCTTACTTGTGGCTTTTACTTTTTCAATGTTTGTTGTGTTTGTTGCTTTCGTTTATCGTTGGCATTGGGCGGACCCCCACACCACACACCCCTGCCTCAAACAGCTGTCATTGTGTGCCCCGTCTGTGTGTGGCATGACTTAATAGCGGATAAATGTTATATGGTATGTCATATAAACATATACGAGTACGAGTATGTGCATATATTTATTTGATACTTTGCACACAATGCACTGGCCATTGGCCATCCAAGCAGCAAGCCAAACCTTCATTCATAATTGGATGTCATTCAATTATTGATACCCTTGGAGCATTGGATAGGGGAGCGGCTTGCAGCCCCCCAAAAGAACCGTCAATATTCATTCAATACGTAGATGTTGCATAATAACTCAAGTATTTGGTATGGGGTTCCCAGTCATTGTGCATGTACTTTTAGGGTTCAATAAAATATTCCCTAAAATAACATTGAAAGCTCTGATGTTTGCTAATCAAAGAGGAAATATTAATATTTCTTTTTTTTTATGGCTTAAAGAAATGAAAATGAAATATTTTCCATGCAAATTCGCAGCTCAACAGAGAGGAATGGTTCGTCGTATATCATTATTTGGGAAACTAAACCATGGATTTATTATACCTTAAATATGCTTTCCATTCACTATGTTGTGCAGATGTTTCGCCTGCCAATGATTTATTCTGCACTCGAGCCATAAAATGTTTGAATATTTTTGAAATTTATTATAACATTTTCTTGACTCGGGGAACCTACCTCAACCAACCACTCACACATACATATGTACATCTGTATGAATGATTCCTTTGAAGAAGAACAAAGCGAAATAAAGAGTTTGTGCAGAACACTATGCTCTGCTCTGCCAGAAGAACCATATCCGTTGAATGATTAATTCATGGTCTTTTTTATGCGGGGGCCAACGGGTTGTATGAGTAATATTTGATTCGATTCGCATATTCATGGATATTCCGCTCCGTTTCATCGCCAAAAATAAACACATAACTGCTCCAATTTGTTAGTTATACATATTTTATTAATCTTTTCACAATAAACATTTTGGCGCAGCAATATTTCTCTGGACGCAACCACACGACTCTGTGTGTGGCATGCGGCATGTGGCAAGCTCCCTTCTCCCTTCCTTTTTGTGAACGCCTGCAGATGCGGTTGGGGGCCAAAAGTGTTTATGTGCGGAAGATGCTGCCTCATGCTTCTGCGAATGGCGTGAACTTTCCTGATCTCCTCCTTTGCCCCACCCCGGGGTGATTCTGTTTCTTGCTCGCCCTCCTGCTGTGATTTCAGATTGCCCCACCACGTCCACCAGTCCAGAATTGTATTTTCCAGACAAAAGTATTTGGCTCCTGGGTACACGATTATTTCTTTATGCTCAAATATTTAACACTTCAAATAAACATTTCTGGAATTCTGGAATTTTAAGCAAATAGTTGGATGCAAATCGAAGATACAACTGATGGGATTCCCTCTTAGAATCAACAAAAACTTGGTTGATTATAAAACTATTTATTTCATAAATTATAGATTTAGTACGCAAATTAGCAGCAATCATAATTATCACTCAAATTGGACATAAATTGTGGCGTAGGCTGCGGCAACCCCAAAGCGTATGAGTGATATTCGCATTCAAACATTAAGTATACGTGAAAGTGCTGAAAATGGAGCACATACTACATTTTGTTTGCTAAGCCCTTAACCCTTGGAACTAATCAGATCAGATCAGCTGCAGATCGGTCGAGATCTAGAAAAAAAACCATTGTTGAAGGATTTTAAGAAAAATCAGGCCTTGAATATCCTCTATTGATCAAAAAGATTTTCTTTCAATAAAAAAAGGCACTCCACACTCCAATTAGGATATATAGAAAGAAAATAATAATCTTCGGGCAAGAACGATAAATGAAATGTTAGTCCAGAAGAAAACACACAGATGGCGCTACTGTATTTTTACATGATCAGTTTCATACACTTGAGCTTTTGTCAGAGCGACATTCGATAAGTAAAAACATCGATTTCAGTGAAGGCGCGAAATTAAAAATATGATTCTGACCAGTACAATATGTACAATGTACATATGTATTATTTATGTGTATAGAATATTTAATACTCTATTTCTTGCACTTTTCGGGAACACTTTTCTGAGCACTGCTTGTGCATTTGTGTGCGCTCGCGTGTGTGTGTGTGTGTGTTTGTGTGCATTACAGTCGTGGCCTCTGCCAGTGGGAAAGCAATGGGAAAACTTAAATTCAAATTAAAGAAGGATTAAAAATGTGAATTTCCCCAACTGATTTATGGCCCGACTGGGGATTCGGGGACGCGGTACTGCAGATGCTTGCCTGCTACTGTGCAGTGTGTGGCTCGGCTCTCTATTTTTGGAGTGCATGTTTAAGCCTGTTTGGACCCGTACCGACAGGGTTCACATCCCAATAGAGTGCTTTAAATATGCATGTTTAAGCCCAGTTCGCGCTGTACAGTCATCCCCATTAAGTGTTTGAAATATGCATGCTTTAATTGTGCGACTGCCTGGAGAGGCGACACTCGAATCGCACAGATACTTCAGACACACAGATACAATCTAATGACTGGCATAAAGCGCTTGTCAGCAGCTGTTGTGGCGGTGGTGGCGGAATCGGAAGCGAAATAAATCAAAATTGCCACCAAATTATCGAGTAAAAAAAAACCCACATCAGCGCACAACGAAACTCAATCCCCCAATCCCCCCCCCAATCACTCATTAGACCAACACAAAGAGGTGTCTGTCTGCTGGTCGCTTAGTTGATAGATAGACAGAATGCTCGTGTGCTGCTCGCCCCCCCAGCGGGGCGTCGCATTGCCCGGCAAACACCTGAATTCAGTTGCCCCATTTGACACCCGGCGGCCACAGCGAGTAGAGAGGCATACGCATAGCATGGATGGGGCATATAAGGCAGCTGTCTGTAGCTTGCAACAGGAAGCGGCGAAACCCAAATTTGATTGCTATTCCTTATAAGTCAGCAGCTGTTTGATTGATTCTCCAATGGCATATGCGACAATTGTTGGACTTCCTCAAGCAAAGAGATCCATAGAAGTGATGTGGAATAGCTATTGGGGATTATAAGTGGAATGATCATCGAAATTTAAAATGGTGAAAGATCTACTAAATAAGATATAGAAATACTCCAGCATTAAAAGTGAAATCTTTTTTTTGTTTTCCAGTTCTTTACGAACATTTCACACACCCTTGGGTATCCAATAATCGTAACATCACTCCACATAATCTCCCAATAGTTCTATTGCTTAATACTATTTTTTCTATTGTTTCTGGCTGTAAGCGCTAATGCGTTAAATGAGACACGCTATCGATAGCTAATTAGAGCGATTTGTGGCTTGGAATAAATTACGAAAGAAGCAACCAGCTCTTAGCTTCAATTTACATATAATATATATACAAATATCTTTAGCTATAGCTCTACATATGTATGTGGATATGTGTGTGTGCAGCACCCACGCATTCATCAGCTGAGCGCCATAATTTCTGAACTGAGCCCGGCTCAAAAGCTAAAAGCCAGCTAAATTGGTCAAAACAAAACGAACTGAACAAAGAAACAGAGAGAGAGAGAGAGAGAGAGCCACAGAGTGAGCCACAGAGAGGTAGAGTGGAAAAGAGAGAAACAGAGAGAGAGAGAGAGCGAGTCTATCGCTCTTTCCAGTGTACACTGTACAGTGGACTGAAATTCTAGTGATCCGCGTAATAACTGAAGTTTTTTGGCGCTTGCTCACTTGCTCGACGGCAGTCGAAAGCGTCGGTTCGGTTTTTCATTTGCTGCTGCTGCCTCGCACTCCGCTTCCCCTCCCCCCTGTACGAAGCAGAGGTTACGCTTGATCCAAAGGTTAATTTTCCGCGAGAGATCAGAGCCGAAGATCAGGGACGCAGCACCCCGCCCTCCGCCCTCCGCCGTGATGTCGTTTTTTCGCAACATTCGCTCTTCGCTGTCGTCATCGTCACGGGCCAAGAGCAGCTCCTCCAACTCCCGCGACACGACACCCGTGCGTAGCGCCTCCTCCCGTCCGGCCAGTGTGATCAGCGTGGGCAGAGCCTCCTCCAGTCGTCGCGACTCGACGACCAGCTCCACGCTGCAGCGTGGCGATACCTTCATACTGCCCGGATCCGATGAGGAGGCGGCATCCAACACGACGCACTCGAACAGCTCCACCCTGGAGAAGAAGTCCAAGAAGTCGAAGGTCTTTGGCAAGTTCAGCACCTTCACGAAGCGCAAGAAGACGCCCAGCGCGCCCGCCGAGGAGGAGGTGGCCAGCTACGAGCATCATCCGAGCGACACGGCCACCAACACGTACTACAAGTGGCGCAGCGATGGCGGCGATCGGCTGCAGGACTACGATGCACAGGCGGATCCGTTCAACTTCCTGTACGAGCAGCACTCCAGCCTGAGGAACCTGCAGTCGGGCTCCGGGGGGGAGTCCGCGGTGCATCGGCAGGCCAGCATCGGGTCCAACTCCAGCGGCAGCTTCGACTCCTCCACGTACCGCAAGAGCAAGACGCCCACGCACCTGCGGGAGCAGCTGGAGCAGCTGAAGACCCACTCCAACGACGATCTGCTCGAGGATCAGCAGCGGGAGGAGGACGAGCGGGAGAAGTACAAGACGGTGACGCTGAACAGCTTCAGGAAATCCTTCCGCGAACGCCTGCTCCAGCAGCAGAAGGAGGCGCCGCACAATCCCGCTTGGTTCGTGGAGGTGCCACCGCCGCCCACACCCGATCCCCACAAGACGAGCAACAGCCGCTGGGACACCAAGGAGAATCGTCCGGACTTTCTTGTCTTTGAGAATGACAACTACCGGCCGCAGTCGCGCTCCCCGCTCCGGGATCGCCCCTCCCGCTCGGCCACCCGCTCGCCAGTGAAACGGAACGAGACCTTTCGCGTGGTGCAGCCCTCGCTGCGGCACATGTCCCCATCGCCCTCGCCCTCTCCGGCTCCCTCCATACGGATCGAGATCAAGAACTCCATTTCGCCACACTCCCCGGGCAGATTCGTGCCCGTGGGCGTGGCCAAGCCCATGCCCACAACGGAGTACTACGCCCAGCGATTGCTGGCCAGCAGCAATCCGAATCCCAGCAGGCTGGCTGGTCCAGCCGCTGCGAGAGCCGCCAGTCCCAGTGCCTCCCAGCGGTGGTATCGCCCGCAGAGCTCTCCCACGCGCATGCAGGCCACGCGAATGAGTGTGGATCCCCAGCAGCCGCCGCGAATGAGTGTGAACCAGCAGCAGTCCTCGCGGATGGCTTTGGGCCAGCAGCAGCCATCGCGAATGAGTGTGGAGCAGCAGCCTCAGCAACACCAGCAAAAGGGTGGCAGGACCCTGGTGCACATTGGCAGTGAGCAAAGCAGGTGCCTGTCGTCTGCCAATCCAATGCCCGCTCGAGGCCGCGCACCCACGAGGGTGCAGCTGTACGGCAACAAGCCCCAGGGCAGCCGACAGCAGCCATCATCGACGTACTTTGGCGGCCACTACAATGCACCTGCCAGCAGCAGCCATGCGGCGAACGGTGTGCCACTGAAGCAGCGTGGATCCTCCAACGGTTTGGGTGTGGCAACGGTCTATGGCGGGGGCGTTCCCACCGTTTATTTGGGGCGTCGCGAACAGCCAATGACACGTGCCGCCCCCGTGCCAACACGTCGCAATCGATCGCCCATTAAAATGCCCTGGCGATAGAACGAGAGAGGGAGAGAGAGCGAGAGAGCATCGCGAAACGGAGCTTACGATACCGAAATATACAGAAATTCTTTCCAAAGAAAGACACCACCCAAGAGTGTGAGCCAAGGTCTTGCGTCATGATTGGAGGGGAGCTACATTCGATCGGAATGGATCGGATCGGATCGGATTGGTGGGCAGAGCGGAGTGGAGTGGAGTGAACTGCGATCGTTAATGATTTATGTACCCATCAAGTTCAGCCTTTGCTCTGCTCAGTGTGTTGTGAATTTTGCTACGTAAACTTATTGTTAAGTAAAGATAAATAATACGTAAATAAATGTACGACAAAAAATTGTCTACTCAATTGAACATTTATTTTTTTTTTGTTGTGGGGATTTACACTCGTTTTTTTTTTTGTGTTGCTGTTTTGATTTTCGTGGAAGCAGCGAAGCCCAAAAAAAAAATACAGCACTTAAATATATAAAAAATTCCAGTACAGGGGTATATATACATATATCCCGTAGTGTTGGTATAATTGTCAGCAAAAGAAAGCTTCTTATTTTAGTGCCTTGCCACAGATACATATGGGTATATGGCTATTGTCTGTCTGTCTGTCGCTCTTTCTGGTATGACTAACTGTGCATGAAAATGAGCCGAACGTTACGTGACAGGGGCATTAAATATGGTCATCCCGACTCTGTGTGTGTGGTGTGTGGTGTGCGCGGGGGAGGGGGGTAGGATGAACTTGGATTTCTAGTTAGAAAGCAGCTGATGAGATTCTGGCCGTATTTGGTTTGAAAAATAAATAAATAAATGTATTTTGTATTTGTACAAATTATGGCATAAATTGTACCCAAGCACGCCAAACGATGGATGATGTCAACAGCAAAACAGCTGCTGTGTGGGGTGGGGGGAAAACACACACGAGGGGACACAGGCGAATACTTAATCACCATTAAAAATGCAAGAGAGTAAAAGGAGCCTTTCTATGCGCTCCTCATATGGCGTTAAGCTAAGGAAATGGGAATATGGCAATGGGAACATAAGCGGATATTCATTCCTCTCTTAACCATATATTTCTTTCGCTCTTGCTCTCCCTCTCTCTATCTCTGTTGTCTCCTAATTAGCAGAATCTGTGCCTCGCACATTTCACTTTCTAAACTGACCGCAGCAACCTGGCCCCAAAACTGTGTCTCTGTGTGTGTGTGTGTGTGGAAACTTCTTTAGTCAGCCACTAAACTTGGTCAGTGCAACTTTAGTAGCCAGCCGCCACTTGTCTCTCCATACTCTACGCACGATCTTGAACTACATGCAGCCTGTTGGCTGGTTGGCTGTTGGCACTGGCTGCTGATCTTAAGTAGAGTGTGAAAAATACTCGCACAGTTTTCTGCAATGTTAGCTAATACGCTCGCCGGCGCAGCCGCAACCTTGTCCATATGGCTGGCTGGCTGGCTGGCTGGCTGGGATCTTTGCGTGGGTCTACAAAAACAGGTTAACAGCCAACATTTGAATCATCATCGGGCATCAGGCATTCAGACCTAATCGTGATCATTAGGTTCGTTGTAGTTTGTAGTTGTGCTGCTTGCCCCCTGCCCTGTAACAAACTTCACTTTGGGGTTTGGTCTGTCAATTTCTCGTTAATTTCTGTCGGTACTTTGTGCTCGTTTTTTTTCGGGTCTTGGGGCTTGGGTTTTGTGTTTTGCAATAAACAAACACTTACTGTTCTGTGTCGTGGATTGCCCGTGCTTGGCCCGAGCTTCGCCATAAGATACAGCTACACACTCGCGCCGCGCAAATGTTTATACAAGTTCCAGTCTGGTCTGAGGCTGATGTTGTTGTTGATGTTGATATATGTATATGTATACAACGCATAGATAGATTCATTTCCAAGTAAACCAGAGACCGGTTTTCTGCGTTTGACTACGACGACCTACGGATTTCTATACTCTGCATGGGCTTGGGGTGTATTTTTTGGAAGATTTTATGTGTATCAAAGAAATATCATGAGAACCGATTAAAATACAGAAATTCCATTTAAAACACATTTATTATGCGCTCTTCGTTAAATATATATTTAAAGGGTATTTTTCATTCGTTTTGCGCTGATTTGCTGCCTCATTTGACTGCAGACAAACAGTCAACAGTCAACAGTCCACAGTCGGGTGGCAACATAGCGTCATAGCGTTAGAAAATGGTAGCTGCCAAAGCGAACTTTGGCACCCATATAGACTCTGATATTTGCTGCTAAAAACTGCGAGTATTCGAGCCAGAATTTGTAGCAGTGGGTGGAACCCGAACCCGTTGAATGAGTGGGCAGAAGGTGCTGGCTACACTTACAAGATACAAAGATACAGAAAAGCTAGAGTCGGTGCCACAAAAGGCAATTGCAGCAAGCATAATGCTGCTCATGGCTCATGTTTATTTATTCCGAGATTATTCAGATTAAAAACGAAATTGGTTTACAGTCGATAAGATGATGACATCATTGGATTTAATATCGAGACAACGAGAGAGAGAGAAAGAAACTTCAAGATGAGAATCTCTTCCGTTGTCCCCCCCCCCCGCTTAAAGATCGAATGCTGTGTGAAAGTCTTTTTTTGCCCATTTGGCTCCATTATAGATTTATTGACACACTCATTTGTTTAATTGGGGATGACATTAATCTGCCCCATTCGAAAGGGGAGGCCTTCGCCTTCGCCTGCGCTTAAGTGGAAATCAAACATTTGCCCAACTGCGGGGCCAAAGCTTGCAACTTAATGCCAATAATATCCTGGCCCATGTCTACTGTCTGCTGCCAGGGGGGGGGGAGGCAGCAATGGGCTCCCGCCCATTGTCTCTCTCGCCACTTTGGTCGCCTATGAACTGGGTCAACATCGATTTTTGGGGCAGCGACGTGTCACAATTATCGTTGCCCTAACCATACCCCCCACCCAGCCCAAAAAAAAGTCAAAGAAATGCAGTAAAAGGGGCCGCACAGGATATCCTGAATATTAATGTCTCAACTCGAAACCGGCGATTCTCATTTTTGGCAACAGGAAAACAGTTGTTACTGCATTTTTCCTGGCCACAGAAACAGACACAGAAACAGAAAGAAAGACAAAGACAAAGAGAACGTTTGGCCTGGCCAACAAATGGAAGCATGCCAAGTGCAATTTCTGTGTGTGTTCTTCTGCTGGTTTGTTTTGTTGGCGTGTATTTTTGGAACAAGTGCAACATCCACGGCTGGAACTGCAACTGCCACTGCAACATCTAGAGCAGCCCAGTGAGCTTAACTTTTGGCATGTCGAATTTCTTTGCCCCTTGTTTTGGCTCGCCAAATGCAATTTCGCCACACAATTTGCATCCCCAACACACCGCTCCCGAAACACTCAAGATATATCTTTATCCATAGTTTTATTTACGGAATTGTTTGGCGCAGTGGCAGTGGCCCGCAAATGAGCAGAGGGCACAAATTAAGTTGTACCATCGTAAATCTCTTGTCTTGTTTTCGGGCTTAAAAGCTAAATTTAAAGCGGCAAATTTATATTACATACAGGCACAGTGGTTGTGGATGGAGTTACTTCTCTGGGATTTCTTTCGTTATATAAATTCCCTTTCTTAATAGCGTTTCCTTCTGCATCTTTCAGGGTGCCATCATTCGCGAGGTTGAGGATGGAGTGCGCTGTGAACAATGCAAATCAAATTGTCCCGGTTTTGCAGCACACGATTGGAGGTAAGGATAAATGTAGTTTAAATATACAAGAATCAAGATGCTATATAAAAATAATATATACAGAAATAATCTTTTAAATAGATTAAATTATATACAAAAATATGTCATTTTATTTTGTTTAATTTAAGACATTAATTTGCATTCAAAATTCATTTACAACTGTGCAAAACTTAGGCGGCCCAATATTTCACGACCGCACTGTAAAGCTTTCTTGCAAAAGCTTTTTTGTATGTGTAGTACTTGTAGCTTGCGCCAGCTGGCGCCACATAAAATAAACGACTGTTCATATTCCGATTGGAATTGAATTTTCTGAACAAATGAAGAGAGTTTTAAGACTCTCCAGCTGTGAAAGAAATTCAAAAAGAAAGTGGAATCCACTCGTACTATTGAAACTCTAAGACCAGCGATAATTGCTCAAAATCTATACGAAGATTAAGATTTTTTTGTTATATGCCCAAATACTGTGAATACGGCGTGGGATCAGAATTTCGGTTTCGCTGCGATCGATAGATAAATATTGAGTCAGCAGTGCCAAAAACAGATGAAACCTCTTTTCAAACAGCAGGGGGAGAGGATGGAGGGAGGATCAGCAGCAGCAGCAGCCCAACAATTTTGTGGCCCATAAAAGCGGAAGAGAAATGAACGGAAAACCGCAAGTCAGTGGCCCAAAATTATGGGGAATGGGGGCATTATCATCTACAATGTGCGCTTGCCCCCAGGGTCATATCGATGACAACGTTGCTGCACACAGAACATTTTAATGATAATTTCTCTGGCCACATCGTTAATTTATAGCCCCGTCGCAATTAATTATACTAATTATTTATTTCTTTATTCATTGTTATGTTTGCACTTGAACTGCGTTGCGTTTCATTTTAGTGGCTAAAATTATGCAATTTTCCAAACGATTATGTGGTGCATTCTACCCCCATAAATCCCCCCCCAAATGGGGCGCATTTGCAATTGGGGAAATTGGCCAAACACTTAACGATTGTGGCCACAAAAACCATTTGAAATTACGCCATTAATCTGTAAACTGAACCGAATGTCCGACTGTCGGGTGTCCGTTTGTCCGTACGGCTGTCAGTCCGTCTGTCGTCTCTTTTGTCTAACTGCGGTTTTGTTTGTGTTTTCTGTCTGATGCTGGCCGCACGCCAATTCCATTCGATGATTTACGGGGCGTATGCGTATTCTTGTTCTGTGATACGCTGCTTAAAAAAGGTCATACAGAGTTCTAACAACAAAAGTGGTCGGCACCACACTCGCTCAGATTTGAATAAAATAATCAAAATTATTACAAAAATAAAGAAAGAGAATAAATAATCCAAAAATGTTGAGAATAAAAATTGTGGACATTGTTTCATATATTTTATTTCCAATCTTCTATAGAGTATTAGAGTATTCTACGCTCTGCCTCGAATTTCTTAATTTTTTACACTTGTTGTTGCTGGTTTTTTTCCCCTATTTGATTTGTAATTGCTGTAGTCTGTGTTTTTGCATTTATACGTGTCATTCGCTATAAATTACTAAAAGTTCTAGTTTTTTTTTTGTGGTTCGTTTTTTGTGCTGTGCTGTATTTTTATGGGCGACTTTTATGGCCAAATGTGTTGGGCTGTAAATTAAATTATTTTTATTTCTTAATGCCAGCCAACGCAAAAATATTAGAAAATATTTAAGAAATTGTGGGCATATTTTTGGACGAGCAAAATATTTCACACAGGTGATGAAAACATAGATCAAAAGCCATCAGTAGAAGAATACAAATAAATATAAATTAAAATTTTGATAGAAATTTATTGAGCAAATTTTTAGGATTACTACGGGGTTTGATTAGGAAATAAAGGTAATGCTAGAAATGCTGGAAATGGGAAATCATTTGCCCTTTAGATCAGATTCTACTTAGCACCGCTAGGGTTTCCTATGGGTAGTACTCCCTATATAACCACACACCTAATACCTTCCACTGTTGCAGTTTCCTCCGAGGTGCATCAGCAATTAAATCAATTAATACAAAGACCTTGGACTGTGTTTTCCATATTTAACGGAAAGAGTCGCTGAATTTCTTAGATCTCTACTGATTCGGATTGGAATTCAATTGATGAAACGATTGCGGTGGCAGATTGCGATTGCGATTGCTTCCAGTGGGAAATGTTGCAACATCAATTTGGTTCAAGTTTTGGGTTCAACTCAAGTTCAAAGCGTGTGCAAATGCTCTCCCTCGCGCTCCCTCCCTCTCTCTGTCTCACTTACTGGCTTTTTAGGGCTTGAGCAATGAACGCTGCCGAGGCTAACATTGACTGACTGACGAAATGACATGACTGGCTGAAGTGACTGACGTTGTGTGCTCTGAGCCGGCTCGTGTTTGTTCATGTCTGCTTCTACATACATACATACATAAGTGTTTGTGTGTTTGTATGCGTTCATTGACGATCTCTCTAACAGCCGCGTGCTTCGCCGATTTATTTGTGGTTGTTGCGGTTGTTGTCGTTTTTTTTTTGCGTTTCGAGACGCGCTCAAAATTGCATTGTTTAACTGTTAAAACAGTTGTTACTCAGTTGTCCACGCGATCGGTCTGTGTGGGTTGTGTGTCAGCAAGAGCGAATGAATATTCCAGCCAGCCCAGCCTGAACTTTTAAAATACATTTTAAGCCCAAAGCAAACAGTGAAACAAAAGCAAAGGGGAAGCAGCAGAAGAAAGGAGAGCACGCAATGTGTAAGCAGCGCGCTCCATATCGCCTCAACTCACTCTCCCACTCTCTCGCTCACGCTCTGGCTCTCTTGGTGTTTACCTAAACGTCAATTGCGCTTATCAGTATCGACATCTTCGTGTCTGTTCGTAAACGCAATACAGTGAGTGATCAAATATTAGGACAGCTGGCAGTCGAAGCAAAAATAAAACACATAACAGTGCATAAACTGACAGTGCAGGCTCGCAATATTAGGATCGATTTAAAAGTGTAACTAATCTGAGGCAGGCAGGGTGTGTTGCTATTAGAACTGCTTGCATGAAAAAAAAAAGCAAGGCAAGTATCAAACATACAGTGTCAGACAACACAAAAAGGCACCTTGCTTTAATTTATTCGTGTCACGCACTGTTTTAAGACACCTGAGCCGCTGTCAAACTGCTGACTGCCCGTGTCTGTTGCTGTGTTTGCCCCCGCCCAGCACCTCATCCAATTGTTGCCGCTTTAAAGTTGCGTGTTCAGCGCTGCGCTGCGCTTCTCTTCGCGCTGCAACATGCTGTTGAAGGTGCAGTCATGTGACGTCTTCCAAGTGCAGCCCGTGCTGGTAAAGAAGCAGCCAAAGTTTCCCACCCGCGAGCGTCACATGGCCATACGGCGAAAAAAGTCCACGGCCATGGTCACGTCCATGGAGAAGCCAACAACTACAACAACAACAACAACAAGAGGCAGAGAACAACGGTAAGCATGGTGGTGGAGGGGGTCATCTATAGGTATTTATGAGTTATTGAGGTGGCAATTAACGGCTAATGGATTGCCCCCGAGGCGGCTGCTCTGCTCGCACAGTATTTTAATTGGGCATCAATCTGTTCACACTCTATTTCGTACAAGAGAGCGAGGGAGACAGGGAAAGAGAATTTTTGGAATAAATTCTACATTGATTTTGGCATTTCTTTCTTCGCTTCTTTCCAGGTCTCTTTTACTATTCTTTGTCTTCTTTTGCCCCCAGCCCCCTGCTTTTAGCTGCTGTTTTGCATAATTTCACACTTGTAGATATCACATTTTCATGATTTTCCCCCCCATTTTCTTCCACCACACCAGTTTGAGTGAGTGTTGAGATACCACACAAAAAATGATGGGATTGAATCGATCTGGAAGTATCCCATAATTTCTCCCAGTCCTATAGATGGTATAATTACGTGTAAATAATCATAAATCTCTATAATAAAAATACAATTCCTGATGGGTAACCTTGAATTTGAAATTCCTTGGATATTTTCAGGAAACTTTTACCAGAAATAATGCTTTTTTGGCCCACAAATTATACAATAATGTTGAACACTTACAAACCAAAGAACAAATTGGTTATACAACATATACCAGATCTTCCATATACATACATAAATAGCCCCAATGAATCGCGCCGCTTTTCATCTGAAATTACGACTAGGGAAACAGATTTTTGACAACAAAGAAATCCACATTGTGGCGCTCCGTCGAACCGAAGATAGTGACGAATGATCATTGTACTTTGGGGCCATAATAAACTCAAACGGATCGCTGGTATCCAGAAGCCAGAAGCAGCAGCAAATTATTTTTTGTGTGTTTACTTAATGTGACGCCTCACGTTAACGTAAATTTCCACGAAACACAGAACAAAAGTCAAAGCAAAGCCAGATACTAAACGGTGTACAATATAAATAAATAGATTTCCATTAAAAAAGTAAAACAACATTTGTAGCTGCCTTTTGGAGGGAGAGCAGTGCCCGATACAGTGCAGAACATGTGATGTGGACAGAGATGGCCTTAATGGCCGAAACATCAGACGCAGAAACGCAGAAACGTAGCCAGAGGCACAGACATTGCACCTGCGACCGACCAGGTGACAAGCGAACGACAACCGACAAGCGCCAAATGTAGTCAGGCAGATAAAGATACAGCGATACAAGCTACAATATCTGTATCTTTCTTCTTTTTTTTTTTGTGTAATGTAATGTAATTTTCCTTTTGGCTGTTTTCTGCCAGCCTGCCTGCCTGCCTGTTCGTGTAATTAAAAACAACAAACGAGTGGCCCCAGCAGCGTGGATGGGGTGGCATGGTGGGTTGTTAAACAAATAAACAGATTCCCTGCTGCCCCACAGGTTGCCCTGCCCACAGGTGTGTTTACCCGCTGAGCAGAGCTTCTCTCTCTCCGCCTCTGTCTCTATATACTCAAAGGTGTAACTGATAGATGACCAAATGCATCTGCCGGTGCACTTAATATAGCCATTCTTGACAGATTTTTTCCATATTTCAATTCGAAAGGAATAAATTTGTTGG